AGCACTGTTCACCACCCCATATGCCATGCTCTAGTTTATTAATAGGATTTATGTCACATTCAAATTAATTTGTTCATATCTTTACTTCAGGTTCTGTGTTTTTATTTTATTTTTTATTTTCGTTTTCATGTACCACTGCCATTTGTTGTTATTTATTGTTCTTTCTTTTTTTATTTATTTATTTATTTATTTTTTATTTCCCATTTTAGAGAGGTTGGAGGACCTAATTACTAAGAAATTATTTGCATGTCTGTAAAGGAATGGCTTCATTTCGCTTTACATAGCATTTGAAGATAAAAACCCATCATCCTGATTGAGTCCTTTATTCTCAAAATATGATCAAAAGTTGGAACTGTGTTATTACTATTTCTATAACATATAAAATTAATTATGTGCCACCGGATGACACCCTTGGGATGGGAAGCACATTCTTTGTATCAGTTTCCATCTTCAAGTTCTGTTTAGTCATCCTTGCAGAACAAGTATTTGGAATTCAAACTGAATTCTTCTTGCCCACGGTTTGTAACTTGTTCTTAGTCAACAATTGCTGCATCCTTTGAATAAAATGATTACAACAAAGAATGTAGTCACTCTTGCAACAGAAGGAAGCCAATATTATAATTGATTTAAATTGTGGCCGTTGATGCTTAAGCATGAAGGAATCTAAACCGCCTTTCTATTACGTGATCAGCAAGCTCAAGTTGTTAACTTGTTTGGCTCTAATTAGCTAGTGCTCCTCATAGTATTGAATCGTCAGATTGAGTGAGTTCAGGTGTATCAATTTGTGAGTCAAAGCTTGGGTGTACTTGGGCCTTGGGCGTGAGCCACTTTGCTTTGTATCTCCTTATTTCGATAGTGAAATAGTGTTTTGTATTCTCCCGTGGACATAGGCAAAGCCGAACCACGTAACTTGTCTCGTTTATGTATATGCCTATTTTTATTTTCTTGTCATTATTTTTCTGTTGTTCTCATAAACTCTCATTCGATCCTATTTTTTCGTAACATCTTTTCATTGTCTGGTTCTGAATATCTTAATTAAGACCTTCTCAGGGTTTCTTCAATATGTTACTTTGTAATTCCCATTGTTCCACCATGTGTATGTGGAAAATTTATCTTTCTGATGTTGGTCCTTAGTTTACTGTTCAAAGTCTTCAGGGATAGCTTTCTCGTCTCAAGGGAAGGGTGGTGTTAACAGTAATTTGTGTATGTCGTCAAACAATTATAGTGGAAGCATCTGTGGAATAGTATATTCCCATATTCTTGGTCCCTAACTCCGAACTTCCTTTGACCTTGTGATCTTTTGGTGCATCTGCTTGCTTATTTCAGTAATTGTTGAGGAATGAAATAAAATTGAACTTGTTCAATTGGTATTTTGCAAATTTGCAATTGTAGCTTGTTGACAGATTGTATATTATTGACAGATTGTAGCGGTACACTAAAGCGAAAACTACAATCTATCTCTTACACCTTCGAAGATTTATAATCCCGTGTAATGGATTCCGAGATGGTAGTGCACAATGGTGGATGCCACTGCAAAAGCGTGAGATGGCGAGTCCAAGCTCCACCCAGTGTTGTAGTCTGGCAATGCAACTGCTCCGACTGCTCCATGAGAGGCAACACTCACTTCATTGTCCCTTCCCGAAGATTTGAGCTTTTGGGAGACTCCAAACAGTTCCTTACAACCTATACCTTTGGCACTCATACAGCTAAGCACACTTTCTGCAAGGTTTGCGGCATAACCTCCTTTTATATTCCGCGTTCAAATCCGGCTGGAATAGCAGTTACATTCAGGTGTGTGGATCCAGGAACACTAACCCATGTTGAGATTAAGTATTATGATGGAAGAAATTGGGAAAGCTCCTATGATGAGTCCGGCATTGCTGCCTGTTCAAAAGTCCAAATTGAAGGGCGAGTGTGAGTTCATCACATTGTATCCAAGTTTGGGAAAAATAAAGGTGGTTCAAGTTCAAATCAGTGGGTTGCATCAGCTATGTTATGTCTTCACCAACTCTTAAATATGCATGTGTGTGTGTATGTGTGTGTGTTCTGTTACTTCTATATTTCTTGCAACTCTGATTCTTCTACATTGTAGAAGTTGTTTCTGCAACTTGTTTTATTTTGTGTACTCTGTTGTTTCAGTATTTGTCAATCGGTTATTGTATCATAGCTCTCTTTGTATTGTGATCATCTTCAATTTGTGTTGAAGTAGCCATTTTAGGCTCATTAATTAATGATAGCGTTACTATTATAGTTGCATTTCGAACCTTGAAATTATAAGGTAAATAGCACTTGTCAATGCTGCAAATGTTCAATGTCCCCCTAGAATCACACATCTCCAAATTAATTATGATATTCAGTTTGGTTTAAAATGGAAGAATCATGATGATCAACCCATTAGTTATGCTAGCTAGGCTCCACATATGTACTAAGAATCACATCCAATTGATCATTACATCGGATTGTAATCAACAACACTATGGTTAGCTACTCAAAATTGACTGGCCAAGTCTATCCATATATAGCCAAGACTCTTCTATACAACTCAAGTTGATTTTGTCAACCTTCAAGACCATAACTTTGGTCCTACTTAAACTGGACATGTGATTTCCCACTCCCAACTCATAAATGAAGCTACAATTATTTGGTTCAAGTCCTTGCAAATTAACCCTAGCTAATTGAAATTGGTACAAGTTGACAAATACATATATATATATATATATATATATATCAACTCAAGTTGATTTTGTCAACCTTCAAGACCATAACTTTGGTCCTACTTAAACTGGACATGTGATTTCCCACTCCCAACTCATAAATGAAGCTAAAATTATTTGGTTCAAGTCCTTGCAAATTAACCCTAGCTAATTGAAATTGGTACAAGTTGACAAATACATACATACATACATATATATATATATATATATATATATATATATATGTATGTATGTATGTATGTATGTATGACCAGAGGATCGATGTTGTATAATTCAGTGGTAAAATGCTTAAGTATCCGTGTCACAGGTTCGGGTGCTAACCGTAGAGCAGTCACTTTGAAAGTTATCAAATGTTAATTCTATCTTGAGAAGAAATTATTACATGGTCCTGGAACTATTGGTTCCAAGCTGATACGCAAACAAAAAAGTGAATAACCTTTCAAAAAAAAAAAAAAAACATAAAAAAAGTGAATAAAACTGACACAAAGTTTACATATTTATTTGCATATCAGTTAATGATTGGTCGAAATTAATGGTCTCCGGAATATGTAATGACTTCTCCTGTCTTGAGTACTCACACTTCAAAAATCTGCCATGGCAGGACCAAAATTGGTATTTCAATGTGGTCCTAAGCACCAAATTGATGAAGTGGGGTGGTTCTGCCTTTCTCTTCTTTCGGCATATGTTTTTGGGTTTTGCAGGCTGTTTTTGAAAGCTTGGAAGATGGTATCCAATAAGAGATTTGGGCTATTTTTTGGGCCAACACCTACAGGAACAAATAGCTATGTTTGTTCTTTGGGTTGGGTTAAGGGAGAATTTTATTTTTAAGTCTAAGCCAGACTTTTTCCTTTTTTTTTTTTTTTTTTTTTTTTTTTTGTGTTCACTTTATGATCAAGTAAGTTTTAAAGGAGAGAGAGGGAGCAAATGTCACATTTGCTTAGTTCAATTTTTTTTTATTTTTAAAAAATAGCTTTCACTTATCCAGAAAGGTGAAAAAGAAAAATAGAAACAAATTAAAAATTTTGTTTGATTGTCATAATTTTTTAAATAAATTAATACTATATTTGGGAGCACTGAATTTATCACTTTGAATTGGAATTAGAATCGGAAGAAATTTAGAAATCCTAAATTAAAGTACCAATTCGATGCACCCAGGCGCGGAGCCCTGCTTACTATAATACATATCCTAAATTTATATATTTTTACATGTATATATGAAAAAATTCATATGATGCCCCCCTAAGATTTTTATTTTCTAAAATTATCTCTTAAATTTTGTATTTCTTCTCTTTTTTACTCTTTAAATTTGTTTAATTTCTTTAAAAAAAAGTCAAATTTTCCTTTTTGAATCCAACTCTATTTTTTTTTTTTTTTTTTTTCTCTTTCAAAAATCTCTTATTTTTCTTTCCTCTTTTTTTTTTTTTTTTTTTTTGTTAATTATTTATCTTTCTTAAATTACTCATTGATTGACATATACTTTGACTAATTTTTCTTCTTCATCTCTTGATTTATAGAATCTATATTTATTGTCGTAATTATTATATTTTTTTATTTTTTTTTCCACACTGTGCCCTTTGAATTTTGGCTCCACTCCTGGTGCACCCAAACGCATCATAAAAGTTATTGTGAGAGAAACAATTAAGGTGGCTGCCCAGATAATCTCCCAATACTAAACTGTTTATCAAAATTTTTGCGAGGGCATCCACATTTGCTTTTACACTTTTCTAGAGTATTTCGGGGAAGAGTGAATCTTAAAGATATTATCGTGAATATTTATAGAATTAGTATGTAAAAAATAGGCGTATAAAAAATCTATAAAAACAAAAGTGGAGAGAATAACTTTAATTATTTATTATTTTACTCTGGTTTGGTTATATAGTCAAAAGGGATTGTAGTTAAGATAGTTATAATAATAATTGTTTGGCACTTCAAATTTTGTGAAAATTCAATGTCCATAATCATCAAATTTTTCATAATTTTTTTTTTTTTTTTTTTCATTTCTTGATTTTTTTTTATATTTTTTATAATGAAGTTACAATATTTCCTTTTATTTTCTTTTAATTTTCTTAAATTGTCTAAAGTCTAAACTATGATGAAATGGTAATGACAAAAACATAAAAATGAAAATAAAATAAAACCCCGTATGACCTCAAATTTAGAGCCAAACAGTATTCGTTTCATCCAGACCGGACCAGCCTTATTTCCATCCAAATCCATTAGTGGTTTTAATAGTGGCCCATAATAAGATCAGAATAAAATAAATATATATACAAAGTTCGGGTTCATTGGACCTTGACTTTATTGAACCCAATAACCCCACCCACCCTCTCTTCTCTAACCTCTGCTACTAGATGCTCTCTATTCTTACTCATCAGTTCATATCCCATCAGGTAAATCAATCTCTCTCTATATGTATAACTCTATAATTGGACTTGAACATATTGTATAATTGTTTTATGAGTTAAGAAGAACATATTCACTGGGTTGTCAATAAATTTTCATTTGCATCTGAATATCATCTCTTTGAGCTCTTGAAGTCTTCAATAAATCCCGTTTAGATTACAATGATGTGTTCATGCTTGCTTACTAGTTATAAATACATGTATGAGAAAGGGATGTGATTTGAATGTTTGAATCTCATGCAATTCCAAGTCTATTGCATTATTATAGACCTCAATTCTGGGAAATTAATGATTGATGGGAACATTTTTCTTGAGGATTTTATTGGGTTTTGTTTAATGTCATCTAACACCTTTTAAGGGCATGTCATTAGGAAATGAACCAAGGCTGTAACAGTCATGTCTTTTTTGAATTGGTATAAACACCTTTTAAGGACATGTGTATGTGGAAAATTTATCTTTCTGATGTTGGTCCTTAGTTTACTGTTCAAGGTCTTCAGGGATACGTTTCTCGTCTCGAGGGAAGGGTAGTGTTAACACCAATTTGCGTATGTCGTCAAACAATTATAGTGGAAGCATCTGTGGAATAGTATATTCCCGTATTCTTGGTCCCTAACTCCCAACTTTAATTAATCTTTTGGTGCATCTGCGTACTTATTTAAATAATTGTTGAAGGATGAAATAAAATTGAAGCTTGTTCAATTGGTATTTTTGCAAATTTGCAATTGTAGCTTGTTGACAGATTGTAGCTTCTTCGCTTTTGGTGCATCTGCTTGCTTATTTCAATAATTGTTGATGAAGATGAAATATAATTAAAGCTTGTTCAATTGCTAATTGCAATTGCAGCTTGTTGCTAATGTATCTACATGATTGACAGATTGTAGCACCAGCATACGCCAAAGCGAAGAAGCTACAATCTATCTCTAACACCTTCGAAGATATATAATCCCGTGCAATGGATTCGGAGATGGAAGTGCACAATGGTGGATGCCACTGCAAAAGCGTGAGATGGCGAGTCCAAGCTCCACCCGGTGTTGTAGTCTGGCAATGCAACTGCTCCAACTGCTCCATGAGAGGCAACACTAGCTTCATTGTCCCTTCCGGAAGATTTGAGCTTTTGGGAGACTGCAAACAGTTCCTTGCAACCTATACATTTGGCACTCATACTGCACAGCACACTTTCTGCAAGGTTTGTGGCATAACCTCCTTTTATATTCCGCGTTCAAATCCGGATGGAATAGCAGTTACATTCAGGTGTGTGGATCCAGGAACACTAACCCATGTTGAGATTAAGTATTATGATGGAAGAAATTGGGAAAGCTACTATGATCAGTCCAGCATTGCTTCGTGTTCAAAAGTCCAAATTGAAGGGTCAGTTTGAGTTCATCACAATGCATCCAAGTTTGGGAAAAACAAAGGTGGTTCAAGTTCAAATCAGAGGGTTGCATCAGCTATGGAATGTCTTCACCAACTCTTAAATATACATCTCTGTGCGTATGTGTGTGTGTGTTCTATTACTTCTATATTTCTTGCAACTCAGATTCTTGTACATTGTAGAAGTTGTTTCTGCAACTTGTTTTATTTTGTGTACTCTGTTGTTTCAGTATTTGTGTCAATCAGTCATTGTATCATAGCTCTCTTTGTATTGTGATCATCTTCAATTTGTGTTGAAGTAGCCATTTTAGTCTCATTAATTAATGATAGCATTACTATTATAGTTGCATTTAGAACCTTGAAATTATAAGGTAAATAGCACTTGCCAATGCTGCAAATGTTCAATGGCCCCCTAGAATCACACATCTCCAAGTTATGGTGAACATATCATATCATGTTTGGTGGAGAAAGGAAAAGAAGAAAATTTATTGAATTTGGGCGAATTTAGGGTAAAATGTAAAAAATTCGTCCTCTAATATCTGTTAACCGTTAATTTTGATCAAATTTATGATTTCAGTTTATAAACTGAAATCAGAGGGTTTGAGTATGTCGTCATCGTTTGGACCCAGAAGATCAGCTCGACTAGCAAGAGCTGCATTCGCTGTGGCAATTCTCATCATAATGCCCACTCTCCTCAGCTAAAATCTCTCTCTCTCTCTCTCTCTCTCTCTATATATATATATATATATATATATATATATCTTAAGTTTCTGATTGCTGTAATATGAGATAGTTTGTGTTCAAAACAAAAAGTCCTATATATATTCGTTTATGCATGTGGAACTGTTCGATGAAATGCCTCAACAAATTAGACGAGGAAGAGTAAAGACCCTTTTTATTTATTTATTTATTTATTTTTATTTTTTATCTTCTTCCTTTACAGCTATCATACTACAAAGTTTTAAGGTGTGCTTTCGTTTTTAATTTCTTTTTGAAGTTGCAATTTTTCTTTCTAATCCTTATTTTTTTTAAAGCTGCAGGTGTCTGGTGTCAATCATATCACCAAGAAAATTAAGGCAGTTGCTTGTTCAAGCAGGAGGAAGACGAGAATTAGCAGCATACCTTTTCTTCCTGAAGGTGTCATATTTAACATCCTGGTTTTGCTTCCTGCTGAGATTCTGTACAATGTGATGAGATATGTTTGCCGAGAGGAGTATAATATTATCAACAACCCTGATTTTATTAATGCACACCTTCAAAAATCAACTAATGGCCTCCTTATCCAACCCTGGGGTCATCCAGAAGTGCTTCATTTTGTGGAGATCATAAGCAATTGCGATGTTCGGGTAATAAAATTAAGATATGAATTCTCTAATCGTATTTGAACTAGTTGTGACGGCTTAGTTTTGTTCCGTCATGACAGTAATAATTTTATATTATGTATTGCAAATCTTATTACCAAGGAAATACTGACCCTCCCTCCATTATTTGAATTGAACCTATTGTAGCTTTTACTGTTTCTGCTTTCGTATATGTTCCTTCTATCAGGAGATACAAAGTTGTCCACGTCTTCTGTGATGCTGTCACTGATGGCTTAATGTGTGCAACATTCACTGTGGGTAGTGAGAGATACTAAACATATTCCAAATGCTAATGAGTATCTATTTACCATTACACCATTATCTGCAGGAGGGTATATTTATTGGACTCCTGATTCTAGATTTTCTGTTTATCTTCTGGCTTTGGATATTGAAACTGAAATAATGCACAAGCTTCCAGATCCTAAGGTCTTCAAAGAAAAAGGGGGTTATTTTATGGGAAGGGAAAACTTTCTAGCTTTGATGGCTCGAGAAAAGAAATTTTTGTGGAGGTTTGGGTGTTGACAGAATTTAAAAAAAAGGAGAGTGGACAAGGCTTTATAACATTGACTTGACAGCTCAACGTGGCATCCTTAAGGGAATGCTTCATCCCCAGAAATGTTCTTCGCACAGGTATATGTATCCTCTTGTCTGGTTAAAAAATGGAGAGTCAGTCATCATTCGTGTTTCAGATCCATCGACAAATTACATTGTTTACAACATCAAGGCTGGAGAAGTTACTTTCTTTATGATGGGTCAAGAAGACAGGGATTGTAAGAACTGTTACCATACTTATGTCGACAGCTTGGTTTCGTTGAAGGTACGCTAGTTGTCCTAGTCCCTAGCTAGTCTGCAATTGGGAATTTGCTACCTCCACTTCACCCATCCATCCAAGGGTTTTATATTGCTCATCAACATCAGGATAGAATGGTTAGTCTGCGTATTACAAGTTTAAGTTTGTTTTGTTGGAAAAAAAAATTACAATTTGCTGTTCTTGCAATTTAATCTTTTTGTTTGATTTTTTTTTTTGGTTTCTGATTGTAGACTATATTTATATTTTGAATGCAATGATATTATTAAAAAATCTCTCTTCTTGGGTTGATTAATAAGTCTGTTTTAGAATTATACTATATAATATCTATGGTTCTTGCAGTAATCACCTTTCTTGTGGTTAAATCTTACTATTCTACTTATTATTTCTTAAACTTTACTTTTCATTTATGCTAAATTTTTTAGTGTCATAGTAGGAACCTTGGTCTCTGGCTTGTCTTTACTCTTAAGTGGTAAACTTACATGAAATCGAGGCCATTGTTTTTGCAAAGAAACCAAATATTAGGAATATGGTTCCTATATAGAGTCTGAACAATAGCCTCTTTGTAGTTTCAACAACAATAGAACATTTTATATGAACCAAAAACTTTGAAGCATAGTCTAATAGAAGGAACCTTTTCTCCTACAATTATCTTTTTGTAATGGAACTAGCACTAGATCACTTGTTGAAACTAACACCGCAGAAATACGTAGACCAAAACAGGAAATGCTACTGGTAGTTCCTTTTCACAGCAATTAGGGACTGTTCCTCTACATGCAAACGTCTTACAATTGCTAGCAATGCAATTACGCGCTTCTAAAACTAGATTTGAAATTATTGTGATTGAGCCCTTTTACTCTCAGAATTTGATCAAAAGTTGAAACTGTGTTATGTCCAGAAGATATAAAATTAATTCTGCGCCTTCAGATACACATTCTTTATATCAGTTTCCATTAAGTTTTGTGTATAATGCAATGGAGGCATTCAATTTTCTATTACGTGTCTAAATGGAAACCGGATGTTGAAACGTTTCATTGTCTGGTTCTGAATATCTTCATCAAGGCTTCCACAGGACTCCTTCAATACTTTTTCTTTTTTATTTCTGTGGGTTGCAGTATAAGTCACAGGTTTATAGTACCACCCAGTTGAATAAATATAATTCTCGTGGTAACACCATGTGTATGTGGAAAATTAATCTTTCTGATGTTGGTCCTTAGTTTACTGTTCAAGGTCTTCGGGGCTACATTTCTCATCTCAATTGTACGTGGTGTTGACAGTAGTTTGCATACATAGTCAAACTAGCATATCAAACTACTATAGTGGAAGCATCTGTGGGATGGTGAATTCCCATATTCTTGTTCTCTAACTCCGAACTTCGATTAACCTGTAATCTTCCGTGCATATTGTTACGGGCCTAGAGATTTGGCGCAGCGGCACGGCCCGTGCGGCACCAAGGCGTTGCTTCAGCTCGCGCAAGCGCCCTGGTCAGCCACCACGACCTGCCCTCCCAAGGATACATGCTGACTGGTTTCGGCCTGCCATGGCCTCGTCAGGGGAACGGCTCCAGCTCCCGACCAGTTTGTGCAAGGGATGGCCAACTCCCTTCTTCATAGTCAAGTCCAAGACTAGCGACAAGCACCTCGAACTGAACCGAGTCGACCTGCCTGAACTCTGAAGAGGTACCATCCTGTGGTCCTGCACGCCCCTTCCCTAGAACCATTCCCAGTCAATGAATGTTCTTAGCCAACCAGCATGCGTATCTTCTATGCTCATGGCGTCGTTAGGAATCGGATCGTGACATTCTCCCCCACCCAAATCCTGCGACGCCCTCGTCGCAGTGCGGCGCTGACTCCGCTGCGTCCAACATTCCAAAGTCTCTCTCCTCCAGGTGGTATGCTCGCCTGCCCACCATCGCTTCCTTGTACAACCCCTGACTGCACTCGCCCAATGATAGGGTTTCGGGCTAAAGGGACGCCCACTTCTTCGGGACGCAACCCCACGTTATGCCGCCTCCGCGACACCCCGAGCAAACAAGCGCCCTCCGGCTGACTTGATACCCGCCCTTCACAACGGTTTGCACGCCTCTTGAACTTGCAAGAACTTTGGTGCGCGCGGCCCTCCGGCCATCCGATGCGCGCGGCCCTCCGGCTTAAAGGACGCATCTTCATGGGGAGATGGAGGCCCTCCTCCAACAGCATTGATTGCCCGCCGACGCTTTAGTGCACCGTCTTCATTCTCAAGACCCCCGGATCGACAAGGGGGCACACCTCTGTGCTTTTCCCCAAGTCCTGCTCTGATACCATTTGTCACGGGCCTAGAGATTTGGCGCAGCGGCACGGTCCGTGCGGCACCAAGGCGTTGCTTCAGCTCGCGCAAGCGCCCTGGTCAGCCACCACGACCTGCCCTCCCAAGGATACATGCTGACTGGTTTCGGCCTGTCATGGCCTCGTCAGGGGAACGGCTCCAGCTCCCGACCAGTTTGTGCAAGGGATGGCCAACTCCCTTCTTCATAGTCAAGTCCAAGACTAGCGACAAGCACCTCGAACTGAACCGAGTCGACCTGCCTGAACTCTGAAGAGGTACCATCCTGTGGTCCTGCACGCCCCTTCCCTGGAACCATTCCCAGTCAATGAATGTTCTTAGCCAACCAGCATGCGTATCTTCTATGCTCATGGCGTCGTTAGGAATCGGATCGTGACAATATGCTTACTTATTTCAATAATTGTTGAAGGATGAAATATAATTAAAGCTTGTTCAATTGGTAATTGCAATTGTAGCTTGTTGCTATTGGCAGATTGTAGCACCAGCATACACCAGCACCTTTGAAGACATAAAATCCCGTGTAATGGATTCTGAGATGGTTGTGCACAGTAGTGGATGCCACTGCAAAAGTGTGAGATGGCGCGTCCAAGCTCCACCCAGTGTTGTAGCCTGGCAATGCAACTGCTCTGACTGCACCATGAGAGGCAACACTCACTACATTGTCCCTTCCGGGAGATTTGAGCTTTTGGGAGACTCCAAACAGTTCCTTACAACCTATACCTTTGGCACTCGTACTGCACCAGCACACTCTGCAAGGTTTGCGGCATAACCTCTTTTTATATTCCGCGGTCAAATCCAAATGGAATTGCAGTTACATTCAGGTGTGTGGATCCAGGAACACTAACCCGTTTTGAGATTAAGTATTTTGATGGAAGAAATTGGGAAAGCTCCTATGATCAGTCTGGCGTTGCTTCGTGTTCAAAAGTCCAAATTGAAGGGTCAGTGTGAGTTCATCACAATGTATCCAAGTTTGGCAAAAACAAAGGTGGTTCAAGTTCACGTCAGAGGGTTGCATCAGCTATGGAATGTCTTCATCAACTCTAAAATATACATCTGTGTGTGTGTGTGTGTGTGTGTGTGTGTGTGTGTTTCATATATTTCTAGCAACTCAGATTCTTGGACATTGTAGAAGTTGTTTCTTGTAACTTGTTTTATTTTGTGCACTCTGTTGTTTCAGTAATGTTGCATGCCACAATGGTATTAGATATTTTGTATGAATAATTTTACATATCACAATTGTATTAATATTTAAGATGGGGGAAGTGGGGTGATTTTTTGAAGATTCCCGAACAAAGTTTAAAAAATCAGTTATTTTTCAGTAATGCCCTCTCTAGAGAGCTTTCAACTTTCAATTTTAGCCAATAAATTAAAAGAAGTATTAAATGATTAACTTCCAATTTTAACCAATACTAACTTCTCATCTGATTCAGGTAACCTATCATAAAATTTGATACCCTAATGTCCTTTATGCTCAAAAATTTACTTAAAACCCGATAATATCCTTAGAAAGTTTGAAAATGAGGTTTTGTTCATATATGTAACACGTTCAGGTCAAAGTCAACGCTGACAAATGAGTTTAGTATTATTTTTGAAATCATATAAGGTCAAAGTCAATGCTGACAAATGAGCTTAGTATTATTTTTGAAATCATATGGAAAGTCCGTGTTATTTAAAAAATCTACAAGGGAAGTAAGTATAATTATTTCTTTAATTAATCAAATTTCATAAATATATTTCACACTTTTTAAGAGTTTGGTTAAATAAATTCTAAAAAAATTATTTTCTTTTAATTCACCTCACTTTTTTTCACTTTCACTTTCCAACATTAATTTCCATCTGACCATAAATTAATGTTCTTGGAGGACATTCCACTGTATAACTACTAGGTTTCCACTCTTAATATATCAACCACGAAGTTAATAGGAAAATAAATAAAATAGAATAAAAGTTAATATAAAAAGGTAACATTACTCTAATAATAGTAATAATAATATTAGTATCCTAACAAATCATGCACACACTCACTTGCCCCCTGACTAAACATGCAATAGTTGCATGTGGTTTAGGTTTAATTTCTTAGGGTAGTCCAAAATACAGTAATTTTCTTGAATTTTCATTTCCTCTTTTATTTTTAAACTTGTAAGAACGAAAATTTTAAAGAAATGGATCATTCCTCAATCATGTTCATTTTTTTGTAGGTTCAAAATTTCGAAAAATGTGTAATATTAATTGTTTAAAATTATTTCATGAACAGATTTTAGTAACGTTTTACTAATCATGGCAAAATTGGATTGTAGTAAGTACTAGTAACTTTTTCCTAAATGCATTTTTCACTGTGTTTTCATATATATATATATATATATATTTTTTTCCTGTTTAAATAGTATTTTACGAAACAAGCCCTTAAAAATTTTCACCAACATAAGCGAAGGTTTAGGGTTTTAGTGCAATAAAGCCCCACCATCCCTCTCCCCTCTCTCTCTCTACCATTCAAATTGTGTTTTCATTCCAACCAGGTACGATTTCGACTTCAACTGTTCAAACACCTGTTGATTATATAAATATATATATATATATATATATATAGTTATATAATATCAGTTTATGTTCCGTTTCTATTGTATTTGAGTGTTCGATGGCAAGAGGTTCTGCATCATTTCTATTGCGTGCATATTCATCCAAAAACAACCTTTCTAGGGTTAGGGTTTTCTTACTCTGCAATCGATTTATCCATGCTTCCAGAGAATCGTATCATTCAGACCACCCAAAGGGCCAAATTAATCCCCCTCTTTATCTCCCAAATCGGCCCCTATTTTCAACCAGCTCAATCGATCAATTAATCTCTCGCAACCCAAAACTCAATTTCACAAATTTGAACAAACAACAGTTTTCGACAGTGGTCGAAAAGGAGAACGATGTTGAAAATCCAAGTATTACTGTTGAATCAGATTGTAGCGAAATGCGTAACAGTGATGAGGGTTCGAAAATGATTTCTGGTTTTGAGCATTTTGCGTGTCGTGATCCTGTAGAAATTTATAAGGAGCTACGTAATGCCACCAAGCACGCGAATCTAAATAAAGGTGATTGGGATGCACTAACTGAGATCTTCCATAGTTTTAAGAAATCAGGTTGGGCATCCAATCAAGCTCTTGCATTGTATATTGGTGCGTCATTTTTCCCTACCGCGGTGCAGAAATTCAAGGAGTTCTTTTTCAACAAATGTCAAGCTGATGTTACCAATTATTTAGTTTCCCTTGGCCCATGTCATGAGGCAGAAAAGTTTATTTTCCCAATTTTTGTTGAATATTGCTTAGAAGAATTTCCGGATGAAATAAAGAGGTTTCAGAGCATGATTAAGTCTGCAGACCTCACAAAACCACATACATGGTTTCCATTTGCTAGAGCCATGAAACGGAAAATTATATATCACTGTGGCCCGACTAATAGTGGTAAAACATATAATGCGTTGCAACGGTTTATGGAAGCGAAGAAGGGTATTTATTGTAGTCCACTTAGACTCTTGGCCATGGAAGTCTTTGATAAGGTGAATGCGCTTGGAGTCTATTGTAGTCTCCATACAGGGCAAGAAAAGAAGCATGTTCCATTCTCGAACCATGTTGCTTGTACAGTTGAAATGGTGTCAACAGAGGAACTGTATGATGTGGCTGTTGTTGATGAGATCCAAATGATGGCGGATTCATCTAGAGGTTTTGCTTGGACGCGGGCTTTGCTTGGGTTGAAGGCCGATGAGATACATTTGTGTGGGGATCCAAGCGTTTTGAATATTGTTCGAAAGATTTGTTCCGAAACTGGGGACGAGTTATTGGAAAATCACTACGAAAGGTTTAAGCCTTTGGTGGTTGAAGCGAAGACCTTACTAGGAGATCTTCGAAATGTGCGATCTGGAGATTGTGTTGTCGCCTTCTCAAGGAGGGAGATATTTGAGGTGAGATTGGCAATTGAGAAATACACAAGTCACCGCTGTTGTGTTATCTATGGCGCATTGCCACCAGAGACTCGTAGGCAGCAAGCTAACTTGTTTAATGATCAAGATAATGAATATGATGTTTTGGTGGCGAGTGATGCAGTGGGAATGGGTTTGAACCTTAATATTAGAAGGGTGGTTTTCTTTAGCCTTTCAAAGTACAATGGGGACAGGATTGTTCCAGTTCCGGCATCACAGGTTAAGCAGATTGCTGGAAGAGCTGGTCGTAGAGGAAGCTGCTATCCAGATGGGCTCGCAACTTCCTTGCATCTAGATGACTTGGATTATTTGATTGAGTGTCTGAAGAAACCTTTTGAGGAAGTTACAAAAGTGGGTCTTTTTCCTTTCTTTGAGCAGGTTGAGTTATTTGCAGGGCAACTTCCAGACGTTACTTTCATAAAGCTACTTGAAAAGTTTGGTGAAAATTGCCGTCTGGATGGATCTTACTTCTTGTGCCGACATGATCATATAAAGAAGGTTGCTATTATGTTGGGGAGGGTTCAAGGATTATCTCTAGAAGATCGTTTCAACTTTTGTTTTGCCCCGGTTAATATTAGAGACCCAAAAGCAATGAATCATCTTTTAAGGTTTGCTTCATCATATTCTCAAAACCTGCCTGTTAACATAGCGATGGGCATGCCCGTGTGTTCTGCTCGCAATGACACAGAGCTCTTGGATCTTGAGAGTAAGCACCAAGTATTGTCTATGTATTTGTGGTTGTCTTACCATTTCAAGGAGGAGACTTTCCCATATGTGAAGAAGGCTGAGGCTATGGCAACAGATATTGCTGACTTACTGGGTCAGTCACTCATCAAAGCTTGCTGGAAACCAGAATCGAGGGGGAAGCCAAAGTCTCAAAGGAAGGAAATAGAAGGTTATGAAAGGCCAAGGTCAATTGTCAAGTTATTCGAGAAGTAAGTTATATGAATTAGTTCATTTTTTGTTTTTTGGCTTTTTATTTATTAACATAGTTTGAATGATTTCTTTAAATTATTCAACTGGCATGCAGTTTCAGTGTAACTGGTGTTTCTTATCTATTACCTTACCTTTCCTATACACCGACTTAAGAAGTTTAGTCTTCTTTTTTGTATAGTTTCTTAACATATGCTAATTTTACCATCATGTCTATATCTTTTTAAAATGAATCATCTGAAGTTTTAGCATTGTTTTTCTGAATATTAATTGTTTATCCTCACTCTTTTTATGATTACCTTTTCTTTTAATCAAGTTTTGGATTGATAGGTGATAGTTTGTTCAATGCAACATTAGTGACAATCAAATAGAGTTCTATCTATCTATCTATCTATATATATATTCTTTTTGGTAGGTGGGTTGGGGTTGGAGAGAGGGAAACTGTTGGCATTGAGTCAGTGGTGGTGACGTTAATGGTGGTGGTGTGCAATGAAGGTAGGGTCCGGAATGGGGATGATGATCTGACAATGGTGTTGTTTGTTAGTGGTGATGTTGGTGATAGTATGGTTACAATGATATGTGGTGGTGAGGCTGGCATTAGTGTAGTGGTTGGTGGTCAGATAGCAATAATAGATGTTACTGTAGGGCCCTACCAAAATTTTTTAATTTTTTATCTATTTAAATTAGAGGACTGCTTTTACATGATGGGTTTATAGAATTGAAAGCATTCCTTGTGTGGAATAGTTTCCGGTAGTGGGTTAATATGGAAAGGTGTTCATTGATAGTGCTGAGGGTGTGCAACAATGGTGGCAATGTTAATTGTCGAGAGGGGTGAACCGGATGCAGACATAACTTTTGGCATTATTTGCATACTGTGACTGCTTTTTAAACATTACTATTATGTTCTACTGATTGATAAGGTTAATTTAAAAATTCAAAAGAAACTCCCGCCTTCATAGTGGGCATGATGGAGGCTTGTAGAGGGTGTATGGTGGATAGCCGAGTCAGGGATGCTTAGAGGGTCACTCCCCTTTGTTTATGGTGGGGCTTGTGACGTGAGAGAAAAAGGAGGTCCTTCAATGGGGAAGAGACTCCTTTTGGTCTCTCAAATACAATATTCTGAGTTCTTTATTCTTTTGGGTTAACGGGCAAAATTGTAAATCCTTGGGGGATTGTTTGGAGTTTCTGGATAGTCTGAAACTTAGTTAGCTCTTGGGAGCGGTCCCCTCTTGAGCGCCTTTTAATGAAATAATCTTACTTATCCAAAAAAAAAAAAAAAAAGTTTCAAAAGAAATACACACACACACACACACACACATACACGGAATCTGAGACATCTGCATAACTCTTCACTATATAGTTGCAGCATTTGTGATGTTCAGTCTTTCTTTTCTTTTTTGCACCTTGCACTTCAAAAAACAATGTTTATGGTGCTTTTGTCTCCATAAAGTTGAACTGTAATTGCCGTGCAGGAAAAAGAATGAAAAATCTGCTCTGCATAAGCATCAGGAGAAGATAGCAGCATAGTGCACTTACAAGGTACATGTACTACTATGCCATCCCGTTTGAGATTCTTGTATATTATACTGGTTTTTCATTATGATTTCACATCGAAAATCTCTGTAGATCCAGGTAAAAACAGAATGGCCTATAACGCATATTGAAACCATGCAAAAATGCTCTTTAGAGTCGTGCCTGATCCTTCAATTATCACATAAATTACCAAAAAATTAACGACTCCCATTTTGCTTTACTGTTAGTTTATTTTGCCTAAAAGCTAGTTCTTACATAATTTTTATTCTGTATTCGTTAACATCTTTCTGAAATATGCAATAGTTTTGAATCCATTAATCAAAATGTGGTTTATCTATAGCCATTAAGAAAAAGAATTTCTTGAATGTTTATGGTTTTTGCTTCTTTTGTTACAAGAGTTGGTGCTGTTAAGTGTCTCTTCATGCCCTTTTGCGGGGAACATACCGTCTAAGCATTATAACATTACATTTACATTTGTTTTCTTAAATATTTTTGAAATGTTCTTTCCAAGACTCTAGCAGTTAAGTACAATTGCAGATAAGTTCTTAAACCTCTTTGGTACTTATTTTTTAATATATTAATATGAATAATATGACCTGTATGTGTAAGGGGGAAAAAGGTGGCTGAATATAGCATATTGGCTGTGGGTGGTAAACAATAAATAATTGGCATCCTAATGTAGAAAAGAGTTACTATTTTTATTTTTTTTCATTGACATGAAACACATTCACACACTTTTTGTCCACACCCAGGCTCGAACCTCTCCCCTCCTCTTTGGGGATGGGGAGGTTATACCATCGGGCTAGATGCCTTTTGGTAAAAGAACTACTATTGATGAACTTCCATTTTGTTTTACCCAGTCTGGTCAATTAACTAAGAGAGCATCGGGTGTCATCACATTTGTTAAAGAAGCCAAATTGGAAAATAGAAATATTGTAGAAAGCTGGGCATATTTTACATCGTGTTTTATGGCGACTAATCTCCACACATTGTTCACATTTATGCAACTAAGTATAAACTTGATGCCATGCTTTGATTGTTACAGATGTTAAATGTGTAAAATACGGAGCCAATCTGATGAATTGGCAGATTAGTTGAGGATTGTTGCTGGAAGAAGCTATGAGCGGATGGGTATCACCAGGAGGTCGTCTCCTCAATTTCTCACATACGATTGATGTTCTTGTTTTCTGCAAGTGATTAAAGATGCATATTTTCAGCATAGCCAAGGGTTCCTGAAGATTCTGAGCTCAGTGAATTGTGCGACCGGCAAAAATTTTGGTTGGTGATAGGGACAACACTTTCCATTACACCTTGTTGCCATTGCTGAACAAGAATCAGACTATTTCCATGAACACGCTTGCATTTGGCAAATTTTTTGGGCGCCCAACTCATTCTGTGTTTGAGCGTCAAATGTGTAGGATACAAAAATAAATTTCGTGAACTTATTATGTATGGAATATTTTGTTCCTATCTATATATATATTTTTAACGAACTGATTCTGTAAAGTGATTGGATGTTGTTGGGAATACATGATGTTTGTTATTTATAGTTTCTTTAACCAGTCTTATAAATATCAGTTGGGAGATATATGCCAAGGATTATATGTCTAAGAATCCTTAGTTGTCGACTTTGGACCACACAACTTTGAATGGCATTTGCGAGTATCAGTTTCAAACATAGTTCGAATTGTCTTGGAACCTCAAACGAATTTCCCAGTAATTGCTCGGTGTGAATGAGACGGCATCTGTCGGCATGTGTCTGATAGTAGACTATGGAGTGCTATAGTATTGTCCGGTTGCCGCAGCCTCCATTCCCAATTAAACCCTAACGTTCTATGTTTAGTGACAACTGATTCATGAAGCTGGTATGTTCGAGTATTATTTCTTCTCTCCGCAGTCACTTTTCCCTCTCTCTCCAACAGATCTCCATTGTTGGTATCCAAAAAAATCAGGTGTTCTTAGAGATGGGAAGTGGATTGATTATTTCAGTAAGTGTTCGTTCTTCTTGATGAAGAACACTAGGATTTAAAACCACCACCTCTTGTGGATAACGCGAAAAAGACACCCTTAATTTATTATTATTATTATTATTATTATTAGGGTAAAGTGTAAAAAAAAACCCTGAACTATATTCTCTCTCCCTAAAAACCCCCCCTGAACTTTTTTTTAAACATTTAACCCCCTGAACTATCCCCACCGGTAAGGTTCCGTTTGGTTCCTCTGCCTAAATAGGCGCGTGATAATCACATGCCAGGGCTGTAACTTTAAAATGACAAAGCTGCCCTTATTGTATAAAACCAAAATTTTTGATACTTTCCAAAAAAAAAAAAAAAAATATCCAAAATTAAAACCTAAACAAAATTAACCCCAAATCGTCAACTCTCTCTGTCTCTCTATCTTCTTCCCCAACTAGCCACTTCCACCATCCATGGACGCCACCACCGCCTCTCCCTCTCTCTAATCCAACTCCATCTCTTGAAGAAGATGAGAAAAAAAAAAATAAGACAAACAACAACCCCCTCTCTCTGTTTTCTAACCCTAGGAATTCAACTTTCCTGCAAAATCAAAGAGTTTGCAACAATCAACACCCCCCTCTCTCTCTCTTTTTCTAGACCTTGGAACCCAACTTTTCTACAAAATCACTGCAAAAGAAGAAAACACACAAAAACACACAACTCAACCCTCTGCAATCCAGTCTGGTTGGGTCTCAGCAGGTGGGTCAAAATCCACAAGCACTGGACACGGTGATGCCGACAACGAACAACGAAGGCGACGACGGCGATCCAATTGGGTTTCAATCTGAACATCAATTCGGCGACAAGACCATGTTCTCGATTTGGGTTCGCTGAAACAAGCAATTGGGTCTAATTTGAACCATCAATTCGGCGACGAGTGAAAGGGGGGTGTGTCGCCGGCTGAGTTACGGTTCCGATGAGGAGTGTAAGTGTAACAACCAGATATATATTGTATATATATATATATATTTTTAATTTTTGAATTCATGTTTATCCATATAATATGTATATCTATGTGGAATTATGAGGGTTATCGTATAACGGAATTTGAGAGATATCAGGCTATCAGTTTAGTTGATTTTTTTTTTGTTTTTTTTTAAGAGTCCATATAGAACTCAACTACTAGATATATATCTAGACTTGGTGTATCGACATTATTTTTTTTACGGGCAATACTATTCTGTGAGTAACGAAGAGGCTTAAGCAGATTCCATTGTCAGGCAAGTTAATTCTTACTTCTAATTCTGTATTTATTCATGTATTAATGGTTAGATTATTAGATATGATTTAATTGTAGGACTCATGATATTTATTTTTTTAGTGATATGGGGATTATACAACGAATTATTGATTGAATAGAAATTATATCTATTTCATTATTTCTTTTGTTTATTTGGAGGTGCATATTAGCATAGATTTATACTGATTGATTGTTGGGTTATAAAAGAAATTTAGTAATTAGGGTTAATGATAGTTTTGTTTTTTATTGCTAATTTAGTAAAGGAAATATGAAAGAAAAGGCAAGGAATCCGTAGAAGCCTGGAATGTGGAATGAAGAGAAAACTGAATTTGGCTTGTGCGGGTGCCACTTAAATGAATGTCTAAAGAGGTTGATTTGGTTTTTGATAATATATATATATATATATTGGTGCACATGCATGCTAGCAGCCGAAATTGTGGTGGGGAGAAGAAATGGAAATGTGCTCTTGTGGGGTCCACCACTTGGGTGTTATTTATGTAGTAAATTTGGTGGAGTTTGACACTATTCACGTTCTGATATGCTGGGTAAGAATATATCCTTTGTGTGTGGAAATAACAGAATAAGAGAATGAACTTAGTGATGATAAGTTGTGCACTCACTTAAAGTTAATTATTGGGTTTGCATTATTGTCCCAAGGTATGCACTTATATATATACATGTGTGCTATATATATTAAGTTTGATTGAGATTGAAGCTTAAAGGGAAGTAGGGACTTCTTTGGGAATACAAAAATGATCCAAAACAATGGAATCGATTAGTAACTGTAAGGTAGAACGACAATAAGAAATAGATTGTTACACTTGTCGTTATGTTTGAGTGGAATTCATGGATTTGTTCTGTTTATTATGGAGTATTATATACAATTAATGGCAGAACAATTGGAGTGATATTGAGGTTGAAATTTAGAATATAAGTTTACAATTTGTTATAATTAGGACTATTAAGTTGGTACTGGTATGTTAACATTAATTAATTATTAGTTAAGGTGGTTGATAAACTCATGATATTATGAGTATAAATTATTTAAACATATTTAGTGTTTAATTGATGTGATTAAACTAGTTGGAGTAGTAGTCTGAGACTTATACAATGATGAGTTTGTTGAGCGCAGTCAGGGACTGTCTACAGGAGTTAAATTACTCTTTTGATATGGCCATGGGGCTAAAGGTGCCCTTAGTATGTGGACGTGGTCAGGGGCCATCTGGGTGAGTAGACGTACAACCCAGCCACATGTGTGTATTTGGTAGTCAGGGACTATGCAATGCACACCATTTATTCGGAGTGGAGCCAGGGGCTCATGTGAGGTAATGACATTAAAACGCCAACTGATTGAGGGGAGCCAGGGGCTCATGTGAGGTAAGTGGGAATTTTAGTAATTTAAATTCTAAATGGGTTACAAGTTCACATGTTGAGTTAATATTATAGAATGACGACGATTAGTAGATATTTCGCGGTCACTTATATATGTATATATATACGGATTTTAAGTAAGGATTAGCTTGCTGAACGATGATAGTGTTTAGCAATTTCTTGCTGAGCTTGTGAGCTCATCCCTTTATTACTTTCAGGTGCATATGGATTAGCTTGCAAAGGAGGCTCAGTGAGAGAAGGAGATTTCCGGATTTCTATATTATGATTTTATTATTGTTTCTTAGTGAACACTTTGTAATAAGATTCACTTAGTTGGTGAAATTTTGAATTAGTTGGGGATGTAATAAATTTCATTTGGATTGTTAGATTTTTGAATAAAAAATGTTTTCTTATTGATTTAATCATGGATTATGGTGGATGAATGATGTGAGTCACGTACCAAGTTTTAGTATAAGACAAGGATTCTTGTGTTAGAATTTGCGGGGAGTGACAGTAAGGGTATCGATGGAGAGGAGTGGTGAGGGTTTTGTTTGGATTTCAATCGCTCTGTTTCATATTCAACTATTTCTCCCGAAAATGCTTCCTCTGGATATCTTCAATTCTCTGGACAGGCACAGATATATATATATATATATAGACACACACATAGAGGGAGGGAGGGAGAGAGCTGCTGTTTATGCTGCCTTAGTTGGAGCGGCGAAATCTTGCGGTTAGGATTGATGAAGAAGATAAACAGTGTAATGATAAGGCCGTGTTTGGGTAATTAGGTGTAACAGTAAACTAAGGTTGTGTTTGGGTGTGATTTGGGAATAAACCATCAAAACTGCATCCTTCCACTGAAGGATAATTTTGTAATTTTCTTTTTCTGGTGACGGAAATTTGCCTACTGTCCTTAATGCAACTTTTTAATAGTTCCGCGCGGGGGGGCGGGGGGGGGGGGGGGGGGGGGGGGGGGGTATTGGTTAATTCAAGGGGGTTTTGTGCAATTGGCTGATAGTTCAGGGGAGTTTTTTTACACTTTACCCTTATTTTGTACAATTGGCTGATAGTTCAGGGGAGTTTTTTGCACTTTACCCTTATTATTATTATTTTCGTTTTAGAGGGGTATCAAGCTTTTATTGATCCAGTCAAGCTTTTGTTAGGTCGAGGAGTCAATCACTATTGAACACTTGAGCAATTATGTCTGAAATGTGAAAACTTTATACAACTTTTTGCCTGAAATGTGAAAATTTTATACAAATTTTTTGCTTACGTGTCCATTGATGATTGGCCGGACCATCTAAATACAAGAGCTGCCACAACCATTTAAGACACTGCACACTCGATATCTGATCATGTGATCATCTTTTACCCTCTTCTTCAAACATTATATAATAAAAGCTCAGTACTAAACATCACCCAACAGAATAGCTTTTGAAGCAATCCAAAGAAATAAAGACGATTCCAACTCTTGTAGCCACAACAGCCTGGGTACTCATTAAATTACAGAAGATACAAATAACAAACCATGGGCCAGAAGTAAAGTTGCCATTTATGAGCAGAACTCCTTTATGGCAATACAGTAGTACTTGATTTTTTGTTTTCCAAGAATATGAAACGACTAAAATATAAATAACTGGAGCAAACACTTGAATCTGCACTTTTATTACAGAGATCAAAATCAAGAGCTCATTTCTTCGATAGCAACGAACTGCACTGTGCCATTATCTTTGATGCCCTGGTGATTGCATCAGTCATGTAGAAGTTCTCTACAGCAGTCCCAAATGGAGTCGAACTCACCTTGTGAGAGGATTCAGGCTTCAATGAAGAAGAAAATGTAGCTGGCTCTCTCTCATCTAAATGCAGTAGATTTGGTGCCACCGTCCTTATCCGGGATCGGACAGCACCGAGGGTATCATAAGGCAGCCGAACACCGGCTACCTCAGACAATGCTCTAATTATTTTCCAATCATCCCTAGCATCACCAACAGTGGGAACTGCAGGTAGAGTTATCTGAGCACACCCTTCTGTATTTTCATATGTCCCTTCCTTCTCACTGAATGCCGCTGCTGGTAAAATGACATTTGCACGATACACGCTCTTGTCACCATGGTGGCCCTGATAAACCACAAAGGCATCCTTCGGGATTTTATCCAAATCCACATCATCAGCACCCATCAGATACAAAAACTTTGCAGATTCAATACAGTTTCCAGACTCTGGCACAAGTCCAAGGTCAAGTGCAGCAGCTTGGGCAGCATTCAGAAGCAAAACATTGAGACCGTTCCAGTCCGGTCTGACAACATTCCCATTTTTAGCAATGGTTTCAACAGCAGAGAAAATTGCATCTTTATCCTCCCGCTCAAAAACCCCAGCACCAACAATTATAGCTGGGTTTTTGGCATTCGATAGGGCTGAGCAAAAGGGATGGCGATTCTCAGCAATTTCAATCAGTGTTTGAGGACCTGTCCCAAGATGTTGGTGATCGTAGTTGAAATCTGTTGGAGGGCCAATGTAACCCACCTTGGCTTGGGTTGCTCGAACTGTTTTCTGGATTCTGGCATTTACCATAGCAGCTTCAACCCTTGGCTGGAATTGAAGACAATAATCTGGCATTAGAAACTGAAAACTACCTAAGACAAAATTTTCCCCTATACACCACCCATACTGGCACACAGAATTCCTAAATGTATCATGAAATGGGATTTACTAAATGTAGCCATGGAAAGAAAAAAGCTACAAAGAAAAACATGTAAAACAAAACTTACAAGAACACACATGCAAGGTTCTCCCATATGTAAAGATCTTGGATAAGGCATATTATAAACTTCATTTATATATGTGTATTTGTGTAATGTAAAAATACGCTACATGAAAAAGAGCAAAAGAAAAGGACATGATGAACCCCAAGGGGTTGGCTCAAGTGGGTAAGAACTTAGCCCTGGTGCCTCAGAGGACTATGCGAAAAATAGGCGATTATAAGTTTCAGCCTCTCACTCTCTTTCTGTACTCTCTTCTGTACGATTTTCAGTGTCTTGATCTCTTCCCACAAGCAAAAACGGGTCCAAAAATTGGTAGGCTTGGGCCCACACAAAGCTCATCCAACAGGTCGACCCGGCACCAAATTTGGGCCACAACATCACACTAACATTATCCTATGTACACTAAATTTCATACAAGTGTCAGACAAACTACATGATTCCAATCAATTAAATACATTTGTAGTGAACCAGAAGGCTTTACATTTCTTTTGCATGTCTCATATCAATAACTACTATTCTTCAAAACATTAAACAGTTTCTTTATCATTTTTTGTACAAAATTTTACATCTACTAATGCTTAGAAGTGCACAAAATAATATGCTATTAAGGGTATGCTGTCTAATTACTGAACAATGAAATTAAAATCCTATACCAAAGGTATACAGAACCATAATTGATTATCACACATGCAGTGGTCAGTTAAAATCCAAAGGTGTAAACCAATACCTGAGTTCCAACCAAAAGGAAAGCATCTGCCTTCTCAAGCCCATTGATGCTACTATTCAAAAGATATCCAGAACGTAAATCGGCATTTGGATGCATGCCATTTCCTTCGCACCACATATTATTTGAACCCATCCTGTTTAAGAAATCCTTAAATGCCATCATAGATTCTGCATCAGACAGCTTACCGGCAATCCCAACAATTTCATCTGGTTTAACTTGATGGGCAACCTCAGCAACCACAGCAAGGGCATCACGCCAGCTCACAGCCTTAAAGCGCCCATCAGCACCACGAATCATAGGATCGTTTAGCCGCTGCCTCTTCAGACCATCATAACAGAATCGTGTTTTGTCTGAAATCCATTCCTCATTGATGTCCTGCAATAGATTGCACATTAAAAAAAGAAGCTAAAAGAAAATAGACCACAGAACCCTAACCAAAAAGCTCCAAAAGTCTTCGACTTCCGAAAACCCAGTGCAAGGATATAATTTGTTCTAATAACCATGATGCAAGTCATGACATTATTTTAAACACAAACTATCATATACATTTACTATGAAATCCTATCCCATTATGAAATGTTATCACAGTTGATAATAGTTCAATTTTTCAGTCCTACACAAAGGTCTTGCATGCACTAAAATTGGACAATGCTTAATTTGTTGCCAGATAAAACACAATTTCCAATTAGGAAGGGAATAAATATTCTGCCAGAGGGCCCCGATTTTCAGTTGCTATTGAACAAGCTAATTGGAAGGTAGTTTTTAAATCAATTTTAAATTGAAGAAATTACCCATAAATATTATTATGCCAAGTTGATGTTAATTCAGATTTACAAATACCCTGTTAACCAATCAATTGCCTTAAAATCTTAAGTTCTTTTAAGAAATTAAACCAATAACTTATATCAAGTTCTCCAACACCCTCATGTTCGATACTGTATGGCACATTGAGAGGCAGAAAGAGACTAACCTGTGCAAACTTGCATAACTAGAATGAGAGATTAGATGTAGGAGACTTGAATCAAGTTAATTTTAAAAATCAAAGCTCTAATAGACTACTGATTGCACTTAATGAAAAAGTATATCAAGTCCTCTCACAACCCCCATACAATCGAATAAAATTTGATCAGCAATTAATTTAATTCAGGTCCTTTCATATGCCTCCAGCACCCATCTAAATCTATTTTCCTAGTCCAGAATCTCAATGAAACAAAATTACACCTCTTTCAACATGTAAAGTTGTTAACAATGATATCCTTGAAAACATAACAACAAACATGCAGATAGAAGTAGGATTAGACTTGAGAAATCAAAAGTGATATCAATTCAACTTGATAAAGACCGTGATATCGGTAGCGCAATAATAAACTTGCAGATAGAAGGAAAACAATGCAATAGCAAGATGCAGCTAAGAAATTGTACACGGAAAATCAAAAGTAACATTACTTCCACTTAACAAAAGACTACCTCATTTAATCGTGGGAGAATTCGCATGACCTCTGGACCTCTACTATCAATTCGAATATTGGAACCAACTGCATCTGTAACATCAATGCTCTCTGTTCCCTTCAACTCCCAATTTCGAGCTTTAAAGGCAAAAGGTTTTGAGGTGAGGGCTCCCACAGGACAGATATCTATTACATTCCCTGAAAGTTCACTAGTCATAAGTTTTTCAACGTAAGTCCCAATTTCTTCCCCACTGCCACGACCCAACATGCCAAGATCTTGGACTCCAGCTACCTCAGTTGCAAACCTAACACATCTATCGAACAAGACATTTATATTAGAAGCTTGCTTGAAGCCACGCAGTTGCAAGGAACCTTGCACAAACAAGCACAAATATTTACCTGCTACAGAATATCTTGAATAAATTTATATAACCGTACTTAAAAAAAAATAATCTTGAATTGAAGCATATTATAACTCAAAACATTATCAAACTAAAAATTTATTCATGCAACTGTATCTAAAGTTAATTAATTGGTTCTTAAATTAAGGTGAGAAGTGAAAAGGCTTCTAACATAAAAACATAGCACTCAAAACAACCAAGTTGAACTAACACCCCAAGTGGAGAACACTACATTGACCTAAGTACATGGTTAGAGTCTTAAAGAATAGGGATGAAGGAAAGGTAAATAAATAACAAGACTTGACATCAAAGTTCCAAAAATGTGAAAAAAATTACCAACTTGATTATTGAACACTAACTTAACAAGACATTGGAGATATATTTTCACAATTCACATTCTATGACATGATGCTATAGGCCTGTGGTAATTCCAAATTAAGTGAACGTTCAACAAGCCACTTCAGCAAAATGATACATACAATCACCAGGATAGTGCCCTGCAATTTCATGTTTCACATATTTCATGACCAATGTGAGAAGAAAAAATTTCCAGCTTTCAACTAGCTATTATTAAACCTGGTGGTTTCTAGAGAGAAACTCTATGTCCAAGATAACCCAGTTCTCAGACAGAGTGCTTAGAAGTTTCTAATACTAATAAGCAGCTATTACATTTCTCAGAATTTTTTCACTCAAAAACATTTTACTTGCAAAACAAATTGTAAAAATAGATGTAATTACCTTGTACACTGAATGCACCGAGTCATAACAGTCTTAACCAATGGACCTAGATTCTTATCAACCACAGATCTCTTCATTTCAGTAAAGCGGCCGCGATCAGAACCAAAGGCCATAGACTGGTCTTGTAGATCACACTCTCCACCTTGATCACAGATTGGGCAGTCTAAGGGATGATTCATCAGCAAAAATTCCATCACCCCTTCTCGTGCCTTCTTTGCCACTGGCGTATCCGTCTTAATCTTCATGCCTAAAATAAAAACCTCAAACAAATTATGGAAAAGTAATAGAGCCAAAACAAAAATAAATTAACAAAATAGATTATATGACCTAAAAAGAATACAGAAAAATCAATAAATTAAAAACATACGCCTGCCAAATGAACAGCAGAGATTATCAGACTCTAAATCCAAAAACCCCAAAAAAATCACGGGTAAAAAAAAAAAACAAAATCTTAAACAAATCATATAGTAAATAATAATAGGTAAATCAAAGGAATTAATCACAAGTACAGATACAGAACTGACAAAGCCAAATTATGGGATAAAGGGGGAAAAAATCATCAAAAGAGATCGTGAATGCATAATTATATAATAAAGGTTACAAAACCCAACAAAAAAATTGTCAAATAAAACAAAAATATCATAACTGAAACGAACTCAGAATATGATGAATATCTAATGTTATAGGTTACAGACATTTATAAAAACAAAAAAAAACAAAACAAAAACAAAAACAAAAATCATCAATTCAACAGAAGATGCAGCCCGGCAATGAATTGCACAGTATCAAGCAGAACCCCCCAAACCAAATCCTCACAACAAAATTAGGAATTAACTAGATTCAAAAGCACCAAATGAATAACAAAGCTCAGATTTTGCACCCAAAAAAATAAAAAACCCAAATCATCCATAAACCCCCAAATTATCAAAACGTAGGAAGTGATCTGAATTGAGCTGACACTAACACAGATTTTCAATTAAGAAATATAAAGGTGCCCTCGCCTTCCAAAACATACATACATATATCTACATGTATTATAGATATATACGTATCATTTTAAGAAGAAAACCTGGAAGAGCAGGCATGGCGCAAGAAGCGACTGGCTTGGGCGACTTCTCGACTTCGACGAGGCACATACGGCAGTTGCCGGCGATGGAGAGGCGGCTGTGGTAACAAAACCGGGGAATGTCGACGCCGGCGACCTCGCAGGCCTGTAACACGGTCATGCCTTTGGGGATTTTGACAGGATAGCCATCGACGAAGACCTCGATTGCCTCCTCTGGGTTGGCGAAGTGAACCCTAGCTCCGCCCACTGGAGTCCGCTTCGGGAGATCTGCCGGCGGCGGGTCTTGAGCTGCAGCTGCGGCTTCTGGTTTCTGCAGCTCAGGCGTGGAGACGATGGTCCTGACGATGAAATTTCTAGGGTTTGGAGATGTAAAAATCCCAGACGATCTCAGAGCTCTTGAAGCTAGAAAACCGAAACCCATCTCTCTCTCTTTCTCTCTCTACACACGCCCCTCTCTCTCTATAGATTGTATCTCTCCTGGAGACTGAGCTAATAGAAATGTTTCGTTCTGTTTGGGAGATCGAAACAACGTGTTTGTTTCCACACACAGAGGAATGACCCGTACTTGGTTAACGGGTCGGTGAATCTCAGCGGGTTAAAGCTTTTGGGTTGTGGATCCTTTGTTCAATAAGGGCCCCGGCCCCGGCCCCGGCCCCAATCTCAATAGCTTACTATGAAAGGTATTACCGATTATAGCCCATGGGTTTAAACACGGATCAAAGGCTCAAAACTAGAGAATTATATTATTTACATAAATAATGATTTGGAATCGAAAAGCTGATAATTTTTACTGATTTATGTGTGTGAGGATTAATGTCTGTCTAATATAGCATGAATGTCATTGGAGGACTGCGAATTGCAATCACGGCTGCCTTTATCTTAGATAGTTGCGGCTGTGATTGATTGAAAAAATTTACATTGCTTTTATTTTTATGAAACATTAAAATTTAATTTTATAAGACAATATTATTCTCTTTTTAGAATTTTATTCTCTCTACTCCCATGGATTTGTATATATATATAATATATCTTTCTTATTTCTTTTTCTTTTTATTTTTTTAAACTGATTCATTTCATATATATATATATTTCTCTGGTTTCTGGCTTTTGTCAAAACCAATCATTTATCTATCATCTATAATTATCTATCACTCATCAAACCATCTTATCTCTAAAGTATGATTATCTCATTACCATTATACTTCTCTCTTACTTTTTTACTAAATCATTCACTTTTATCATTTACAAATAACAAAAACTCAATTATACAATTTGACTTCAACCAAAATTCAGTAAGTGTGATTATCCCATCACCACTATACCTCTCTCCCTCTCCCTCTCCCTCTCTTCTATCTTTTACAAATAAATTAATACTCAATTATACAATTTTACTTCAAAGAAAATTGAATTCTATAATTTACTTCAATTAAAATTTACTGTAAATTCATATCTAAAGTATAAATAAATAATACTTAATATAAACATAATCCATCAAAAAAGGAAAAGAAAATGGAAATGAAGAAAATGAAATAATGCATTGATAAAAGATTAGCTATATATGTTATATATATATATATAAACACTCGATGGAAGGAGGAGAAAAAATAATAATCAATAAACAAAAGAGAGCTCCACGACTGCAATTAGCAGTCCTCCTTTCATTAATAGGGTATAGGGGACCAAGTTGGATAATCAGCCTCTTGTTTTTAAGTTATGTAATTAGCCTTTAGAATGGCCTGTTTGGTGTAGTTCATCAATATGTTCTTTAAGTGAGTGTACCAATTGACAAACAAGAGAGTTTTTGACTGGTTAAGAAAATTTAACATAAAGAAGTGAGAAAGAGACGAATGCAAAGAAGAACCCATTTATCCAAGGAGTCTTGTGCAACAGTTTTTAAATTTAAACTTCTATTCAATCTTTTTCCTGGAAGCATTTTTTTTTTGACAAACAAGATAAGATTACATTGCTTGCAGATTACACGGCAAACAAGACAAGATAACGAAAAATCATCATGTAACCACAACTAATAAGCCTAACCCATTAGAATCCGCCAGAGTGGCTTCTATTCAATATTTGACAATTTAAACTTCTATTCATTCTTGGAAGCATTTATTTATTTATTATTATTATTAATTTTTTTTTTTTTGGGTAAACAAGATAAGATTACATTGCTGGCAGATTACATGGCAAACAAGACAAGATAACGAAAGATCACCAGGTAACCATAACTAATAAGCCTAACCTACTAGAACCTGCTAGAGTGGCTTCCTTCCCAATCACCATTATGACCATCATTACAATATTTGATAGGTGGGCCCATAACTAACACGACACATCACGAGGCGATAAACAAGGACAACGGAACAACGTACGTCGTCGAAACAGTATATCGCCAGCTTGCTACCATCCTCGTAAGCGCCATCATCATAAACACCATTTGCAACATAGAACCCCCACCAAGCATAGCTAGAAGTAACAAATATCCACATTGAAGATGCATGAATCTGTCCATTAAGTCCAGCAACGTCCATCCACGATCTAAAGTCTGCCGGTTGAAACACAACTCTGATTGAGGAATAGATGGCTGGCAAACAACCAACAGCCTCATGTCCATGAATCAACAGAACATAGGTCTTGAAACTCCAGATTTGATGAAATATAAATATCGCCATTGAATAACTTCAGCAGCCAGAAGTGCCCAAAAGCCGTGGATGATAAGCTAGTAAACGCAGGCAAATCCAACTTCGCCAACAAAAAACACAAAACAAACATGAGAATTAAACAGTAAACAAAGGAGAATAGATCAATACCCGGATCAAAAGGAAAGATCGGCATAAATTGGGTATCAATTCTTCCAAGGCACAAAAATCCCAAATTTACAAGCCTCCACTCAAATGTGCTCCTTCGGCCAGACAACCTACAAGATCAACAGACATGAGAAGAGAGGAAACCATCACTGACAAACCACACCGTCTTGGAGACAATCCCAAACTCTGATGAACAGAAGACCTCGACATAGCGAGAAACATGTTGAAACTTGGTTCAACATCTCTCATGATACCTCCCTCGCCCTCTGAAAACATGGAAACTCTAGATCGTTGAAGCTTGATGTTGATGAGCGAGAATCGCCGTCGAAACCACACTCTCTAACGGAAAATAGGAAAGGCGGCGCGCGGAAACCCTAGCAAAGAGGGGGAAGAAGCTTATCCAATGCAATATTTGGACAATTACTGCTTTCTATATAAGGCACCCAAACCAGAGAGTTAGTGCCACTACCATCTATCTCTTGTCCGTACAACAGCTCCAACAAACCTGCAACCTCATCCTGCTCCCAATCCTTAAAGGAACGCCTAAAACGTACATCCCATACGAGCCTACCATAACAGTTGGCCGCCAAAGCATGTCTATCCACGGTAATCCAGAAAATCTGGGAAAGGAACGAGCATTAAGCCCGTTTTAACGGATTGACCGGGTAAACCCATGCGCCCCCTTTAGCTCTGCATCCTTCAACCGCTGCACCAAACCACATCCGGCTCAGGCTCCGGCTCCTGCCCAGGCCCCGGCCCTTATTGCTTGATGATTCGCTACGTCGCCGGTGGCCACTGCGAAAGATTTCTTCTCTGAAAGGAAGACGAAATCTAAGGTTATGGTAAGGTTTTGAGGGGCTGAAGGGATAAGGATTGGAGAGGAAGAGAGAGGAGAGTGACGCCATTGGAGAAGAAGAGGGGGTTTGCTTCGTCTCCTTGGGTTTTTCAGATTCTTATTGAGAGAGAGAAATCGTGTTTTTGATTCTTTTCAAACATACACTCAACTGATTTTCCTCTCCAATTTCAAGGATACAAATGCTAACCCCTGAAATCTCCCTCAGGAAAGCTGCCAAAAAAATGCTGGTTTCTCTCTCTCTTATCTCTCTATATATTCTGTATCAATAATGTCCACAAACAGTGTGGTATGGGTCTTTTGGATGGTATAACAACACAATAATTTGATATATGGGATTGGCGGCGAATTTATCCGCCGGTGATGATAAATAAGAGTAGGTAATTATCATTAATGTCTGTATTGACCCCATTTTTTCAAGTTTTCGCATGCAATTTCAATAAGCAAAGCAGAAAACCATATGGAAGTTTTAGAGCTAAATCAAAAGAGTTGTCATGGTTATGAGATTTGAAATAGGGTTGAGAAGTGTAAAACAATAAGGAAGAAGAAAATTTATAATATTTCAATAATCAAAGCTGAATATTTTGATTACATAGTATCTTTCAAGCTGGTAGGTGGAAAATAAAAGAAATAATATCATTAATTAGGTGTTTGGTTGATTAATGAAGGAAAAGATATAAATTAGGAATCTTCTTTGTGTTGGTAGAGGAACCCCATAAGAAGTCTGTCATCTTCTTTTCAATAAGCATAATAACAGATGAAGGACTTTTAAAGACTGAGCACCAAAAATAGGTGAAAGAAGTTAGGACAGTCCTCACCAATTCCACCCTTCCAGCAAGAGAGAGCTTAATGCCATTCCAAGAATTCAATTAAAGAATAGTAATCTTGTTTGAGAAAAAGAATAGAAAAAGAAACTATTCTAATGAATTTACAATAATACTCTTTTTCATAGATTTTTTTTTTTTGTTTTTTAATAAAAAAAAATAGGGTAAATTTGGTATTAACAATGTTTTATTAAAAATTGCTAGTCAATCCTTCTATTTTCTCTCAAAATTCTTCCATTCTTTATCTTTTTTCCTTTGAAAATTGTATACCAAACACAAAAAAATCACATCCCTTTACTTTCCAGTGTTACATTTTGTTTCTATAAAATATTCACAGAAAAGAAATGATAATGTACTCCAATGATATTGGCATTGAGAGGTGAATGGCACCAGTCTTAGTCATGTATACCTTGTAGATGCATCTTTCCATTGCTGACTATTTCAAAGAATTAGTTGCAGAAGGCCAATATATCCCCACCCCAAGGTATTGAAGAAGTTGATATATAGATGATTTATGCGGGCATCCTTGACCTTGGATTTGTTACACCAAAGTTTCAACTGCATGCGAAGCACTTCTTTTCCACTACTGTGGAAACGATTAGCCATAGTGTATGTATATGGATGCTCAATTTGTGGCTGATGCCATCCGAATAGGATCATTTGAAAAGTCAATTGCATCCATGGCCCATGGGATGCAAAGTGATGGGATCCACTCTATGGATGCCCGCTAAAGACTTCCGCTGAAGTCTTTGGCTTAATAGCATGGTCCTCGAATAGCTGTAAAGACCAAAAGAATGGAAAGGGAGGTCTAGGTCTGTAGCTGGTTGGCCTTGACCCCTCTTATAGCTAGTGAAATGAGTAATATGACTATTGACTAAATTAATTGCTCATTTATACTATGCAGATTCCCATGCTGATACACCAACTGGTGTGGGAATTAGGGAAAAAATCCTCTCCGGGCACCCTCTCACTGGAGGGTGTCCAGTGCTGACATGGAGGCGTGACATTGCAGGTTAGTAAAAAAAGTATTTACTTTACTTATGTGTATACTACTACTACATATGTATGTGTAGAAGAAGTTTATATAGTTATGGACAAATACGAGCTTAAATTTCCCTCCAAATACTGTTGCTTCTTTTCCCCCCAAATTCTCAGATCTTATTCCCCCCAAAAGTAAAATGTTTGTATCATTATTTGTGTCTGAAATTCTGCCCTCTCTCCCTCTGTAATTGAAGTCACGAAAATTCGGTGACTGACTAATATTTCGGCGGCTGATCAACAATCCGGCCAAAGTTGAAGCTATTGAAATCGTCTCTCTCCCTCTTAAATTGAAGTCTAAAGTCTCTGGTGAAAGACGCTTCGTTTATGCCTCTCTTCCTTTGAAATTCAACTCGCCGTCTGAAATTGAAGCTTGGTTCAGGTTTGTCTCCCTCTGTCTCCCCAAAAGTAAAATGTTTATTCACAAATTTTGTATCATTATTTGTGTGTGAATTTTTTTTTGTATCATTATGAAGAATTCGGTGAAGCTTTTGAAATGGTCTGTCTATCCGACGAATGACTAAGCTTCGTTCAGGTGTTTCTCCATCTGAAATTGAAGTGTGAAGAATCCGGCCAAAGACCAAGCTTCGTTGACGTCTTTCTTCCTCGGAAACTCAACTCTCCCTCTGAAATTGAAGCTTCCAAGCTTCGTTCAGGTGTTTCTCCCTCTGAAATTGAAGTCTGAAGAATCTGGCCAAAGACCAAGCTTCGTTCACGTCTCCCTTCTTCTGAAATTCAACTCAAGCTTCCTCTGAAATTCAACTCAAGCTTCCTACACATTATCCATCTTCAAAGAAGCATATATATTTGTACAAGAAGTTGGTTTGTTTGTTTTTCTGCATTTTTTTAGATTTCAGTGAAGCTAAATTTTACTTTCTATGTTGTTCTGCATATGTATCTTAAATTTGCAGAGTCTATAGTTATATTTATATGTTATTTATAAGTGTATTTTACATGATATAATCACTGAATTTGTGATATATTACTAATTTTGTTTTATATTTGGGTTATGAAATACAAAATCCCTGAATTATATACGATTCAATGAAGACATAAAAAAACAGTGTTAGAGAGATAATATTTTTTGTAGTGGACATATGTGTTTACATATAATTGATAAGTCTATTTGTCATCTGATTATACTAATTGAAATTGTGATGTATTAGGGCATTTGTTTTAAATTTGGTTTTTGAAATAACCCCCGAATTAATTTTGATCCAATAAATTAAGACACAACAAAATAGTGTAGAGTGTGATAATATTTATAGCACTGTAGATATGTGTTTACATGTAATTTATAACCCTATTTTACATGTGATTATAGTAATTGAATTTGTGATTATAGTAATTGTTAATGTGATATATTTTGTATGACATGTTTATATTAGTGGTGCCACATGTTCGAAAAGTGTTTGAATGTGTGGACATGCATTATATGACTCTATTTGTTAAAATTAGGTGAAGATGTTAGATTAAAGATGTGATATTTTATTTTTTTAAACTGTTGACACTTTTGATGTTTAAGATTATGTTCTCCACTTCAGAAGTTCATTTGTTTCCCACCTTAAATGATTTTCCTTTATGAGGTTCAGTTGAAGTATGTTAGGAATAATTTTGTATGACATCGTCATATAAGTGGTGCCACATGTTGGAAAAGTGTATAAATAGATGTTAGGTAAAAGATATGATGTTTTTTTATTAAACTGTTGACACCTGTTTGTATAATGTTAAGTTGTTCAGTTGTAAAATTCAGTTGCTTTCCACTTTAAATGCTTCTATGAGTTTCAGTGGAAGTATGTGAGGAATAATTTTGTATGACATGTTCATATAAGTGGTGGCACATGTTGGAAAAGTGTATGAACAGATGTTAGCTAAAAGATGTGATGGTTTATTTATTAAACTGTTAACACCTATTTGTAAAAGGTTATGTTGTTTAGTTCAAAAGTGCATTTGCTTCCCACATGAAATGATTTGTCTTTATGAGGTTTAGTTGAAGTATGTTAGGAATAATTTTGTATGACATGTACATATAAGTGGTGCCACATGTTGGAAAAGTGTGTGAATGTGTGCACATGTATTATATTACTCAATCTGTTAAATTCGGGTCATGATGTTAGGTAAAAGTTGTGATAGTTTATTCATTACATTTATAACACCTGTTTATAAAAGGTTATGTTGTTGAGTTGAAAAGTGCATGTGCTTCCCACTTGAAATGATTTGCCTTAATGAGGATCAGCTGATGTATGTTAGGAATAATTTTATATGACATATCCATATAAGTGGTGCCACATGTTGGAAAAGTGTATGAATGTGTGCACATGAATTATATTACTCAATATGTTAAAGTCAGGTCATGATGTTAGGTAAAAAGTTGTGATAGTTTATTCATTACATTGTTGACACCTGTTTATAAAAAGTTATATTGTTGAGTTGAAAAGTGTATTTGCTTCCCACTTGAAATGATTTGCCTTAATGAGGTTCAGTTGATGTATGTTAGAAATAATTTTTTTATGATATGTCCATATAAGTGGTGCCCCATGTTGGAAAAGTGTATGAATGTGTGCACATGAATTATATTACTCAATATGCAAAAATCAGGTCATAATGTTAGGTAAAAGTTAAAGTTGTGATAGTTTATTCATTATACTGTTGACATGTGTTTGTAAAATGTTATGTTGTTGAGTTCAAAAGTTGTGATAGTATGCTAGGAATAATTTTGTATGACATGGTCATATATGTTGTGGCACATGTTGGAAAAGTATATGAATGTGTGGACTTACATTATATTACTCTATCTGTTAAAATCAGGTGAAGATGTTAGGTGAAAGATGTGATGGTGTATTTATTAAACTGTTGACAGATGTTTGTAAAAGGTTATGCTGTCCAATTAAAGATGTGATGGTGTATTTATTAAAATGTTGACACCTGTTTGTAAAAGGTTATGTTGTCCAGTTCAAAAGTTCTTTTGTTTCTCACTTTAAATGTTTTTCATTTATGAGGTTGGTTGAAATATGTTAGGAATAATTTTGTATGACATGTTCATATAAGTGGTGCCACATGTTGGAAAAGTGTATGAATATATGTTAGGTAAAGAATGTAATGGTTTATTCAGTAAACTCTTGACACCTGTTTCTAAAAGGTTATGTTGTTCAGCTCAAAAGTTCATTTGCTTCCCACATATTGCACAAGTGTATGAAAGTGTGGATATACATTATATTATTGTATCACTTAAATTCAAGTCAAGATGGTACTTAGAAGATATGATGATTTATTTATTAAAGTGTTGATATGTTGTTCAGTGCAAAACTTCATTTGATTCCTACTGTAAATGAATTGCCTTTATGGGGTTATGTTGAAGTATGTTAGGTTTTTTTTGTATGATAACTTCATATAAATACTGCCACATGTTGAAAATGTGTTTGCATATCTGGATATGCATTATATTATTTTATCAGTTTGATGAGCAGATGTTAGGTAAAATATTTGATGTTATATTTATTCAAATGTTGCTACATGTTAGTGAAAGGTGGTGATAGTTGAACTATACTAAAACTTACGTGTTATGCTTATATTTGTAGATTTTATATTTAAGTTATGGCCATGGAAGATGGAACTATTAATATTGAAGATATGAAAGATGGAACTATTAATATTGAAGATATGGAAGATGGAACTATTAATATTGAAGATACAGATAGCGAATTAGATTCGGAGGTAAATGAAGTACAATGGAAACCATGTCTTGAAATGGAGTTTGATTCTATAGATGCGGCGTATGTTTTTTTACAACAATTATGGTGGCAGAGTCAGTTTTAGTATTTGAAAGGAGTATGCAAATAAAAGTCGGAAGGATGGAAAAATAACATCTAGGTTGTTTGTTTGTAGTAAGGAGGGTTTAAGAGGTAAGGACAAGAGAGACGGAAAAACAAAGAAACCAAGGGCTAAAACACGCACAAACTGTGGTGCACGCATGTTAGTAAAGTATGATGTGGGTTTGCAAAAGTTCATTGTAAAACAATTTGAAAAAAGTCATAACTATCCCCTCATCATGCAGCAGTGCACCCACATGATGCCATCGCAGCGAAAAATCAGCTCAGTGCAAGGTATTGATGTGGAGTTGGTTTGTGATTTTAGAATAGTAGTTCGTAAAGCTTTCGAATTAAGCTCCAGGCACGTTGGAGGTAGAGAAGCAATTAGCTACACCAAGGTTGATATACAAAATTATATTAGGACAAGAAGGCAGAATGAGCTAGAGTGGCGGGTTGGCTCATGAATTATTTCCAAACTCAGTCATAGGAAGATCCATCATTTTTTCATGCTGTCCAGTTAGACAAAGATACAATGATAACTAATATTTTTTGGGCGGATTCGAAAATGATATCAGATTATGGCCATTTTGGAGATGTGGTTACATTTGATACAACGTACAAGCTTATCCAAGGTAACAGGTCTTTGGGTGTTTTTCTTGGTTTGAACCATCATCGGCAGACATGTGTGTTTGGTGCTGCTTTCATGTATGATGAGACGACGGATTCGTTTGCTTGGTTGTTTAATACATTCTTGAATGCAATGTCTTGTAAAGTGCCTAGGACAATATTAACTGACCAAGACGTAGCAATGGCAAAAGCATTAGCAGAAGTAATGCCTAACACAAATCACCATCTGTGTACGTGGCACCTTATGCTTAATGCACAAAAGCATATCGGCAACATGTCTGTTGGTGGGAAAGGTATAAAAAGTGTGATTTCCAAATTAATGTTTGACATTGAGGAGCATGATGAGTTTTTACAGGAATGGTCTTTGATGGAAAAGGAATTTGGTGTGGAGAATAATACATGGTTGGCTAACTTGTTTCGTTTGAAACATGTATGGGCCAAGGCATACGTAAAAAATGTATGGTCTGCTAGTATGCGTACCACACAGCTAAATAAAAGCTTCAACAGTGGGTTGAAACAGTATTTGTCTAGACAATATGCACTTCCAAATTTCTTCAAGCATTTCGACACGTTGTTGTACGACAAAAGGTACACGAAGTATGAAGCTGAATATGATTTGGTCCAGAAGATGCCTAGGATGAAAGCAAGATTTCCCATATTAGATCACGTCAGACATGTGTACACTGCTAACATATTTGAACTTTTTCAGGAACAATTATTAATAGCTTGTATGAGTCAGTATATCCTGAACTGCAATGACAATGGTAATGGGGAATATGTGTATGAAGTTGCGCTGTATAATCAGAAGGTGATACGGCGAGTGATACGGACACATGACGACCATTTGTCTTGTTCTTGTGGAAAGTTTAAAATGGAGGGTGTCATGTGCAGCCATACTCTGCAAGTCCTTAGAGATAAGATGTGTGTGAGCAAAATACCGAGCCGATATGTTTTGAAAAGATGGACAAGAAATGCGAAGGACGGCAGGATGGAAGAATTAATTGGCACAGATGTGTTGACAGATCCTAGACTTGAGATGAGACGCCGGCACAGAATACTTTGTCGTCAGCTCACAGAAATATCTTCCATTGTATCTCTTAGCCACGACGGATTCAATAATGTTTTGATGCAACTTAGTAATTTGAAGCAAATTGCCGAAGGATCAATACCTAATCCTACGGCTGCCACCAAAGACATTGTGCAAAGCATTCCAATTTTGAATCTGAAGGGGATTGCCACCAAAGATACATTGAAAGGAAGAAGGCGTAGGTTCGTATCTGTGTTGGAAAAAACCACTAGAAAGAAGAAAAAGACTAACAGCCGTAATTTAGAGGTACATACCCTTAGCCTTATTATGTATGTATTTAGCTTTATGTGCGTGGTTTTACTCTGTTATGTTTATTATTTTATCTCTGTTGTCATTATACAATTTTTAAACAACAAACTCCTCATATCATGTTATATAGAATTCCAATGGTGGCGTTGTTACCGGAGTGGCAGGTTGCAATGGTGGTATTACCACCCCTTCATATATTTTACACAATGTGAGTGTTCTTCTAAGTTTCACCTATCCAAAACTATATGTACATCATAACACTTGAGTTGATGGTTTGATTGTTTGAAGGGTACTGAAATTCCATCACACATATTCATGTCCGAAGAATTTGATAAGGCAAGACCTTCAACACAATCTCAGGAATATGATAATAGCCCCCGTGCAGCTTATTTTGGTAAACCTATGACTCCATTAACTAACCTGTTTACAAGTGAACCAGTAATGATCCCATCAGCATATGAAGAACCATTGACGTTGAAACTGGTAAGTGTATATTATATGCATAAGGCCCAAATTTTTAACAAATTTGCTGTTGAAATTGCAAACAACTGATGTATTATTTTTTTGTGAATCATGATAGTAAAAGGAAGTTCATATAGAAGGTGTACGTCAATTGAATGTTGCCCTAATGTCCCCTGTGTCAATGGCAAACATGAATCAGACATGTCACCAACAACAGTGTCAGAAATGGGCAGAACAGAACATTCTGAAGGACATAAAAATTTGGTGCAGTTATTTCTTTTACTCAAATATGTTATTAATGAACATATATGAACTTAAATCTTTTGCTTCCTATGTGATCTTAGCAAGACTTTTGATACTTTATTTATATAGATTGCATTTGTTATTGCACTTTAAATAATTCGGTTTGGTGAAGTTGTTGGTAAGAATTGTAAAGAGTCTATGGTTTGTTTGGACAATTACTTTGCACCTACACTGGTAGTTGTGTGGACAATTAATTACGGTTTGGTAAGAACATTAAAGAGGCGAGTTATGTTTACCTATTGCTGAACATAAAACCGACGTACACCCATTGCTTATACAGAATATGTGATGTGAATATGAGACGAAGGATATGTGATATGAATATGAGTTATGTATATACAGGAAGTTGGCAGACGCGAAGGCACAAACATGAGGGTATCCTGATGCGAAGTATTATCCTTATACTAGTCATGCAGACGCTGTTGAGGCCTTCAACAGATGGAATGCCCACTGCCATGCTGAAGTGGTAAAAAGTGAAGGTGAGGTAGTATAAGATATTCAACCTCATGCAGGTTGTCCACCTCCATAGGTGTCTCAAGCTGAATGGCAACCGGAACAGCTTATTAAATATGAGGAGTTAACAAATGCGAGGAGTGTAATTGTTGCAGAGTGTAAACGAGCAGGTCTAGCCATTCCAAGACCACGTTCACTCGAAATGAAGCTGGCAGGTACATCAGATATGTATTCCATCATTGGTCAGATTAACCGTGAAATCCGTCAACTTCATCTGCGATGGCGTAAGGTGGAAAAAGTGAATGAAGCTAAACAAATATCACAAATTGCCTCCATTTTGAATGACCAGATCTGAAATCAGATTCTGATTTGTCGAATTTTTCTGACCCAGGAGATGACGACTTTGTTATTCCACCTCCAAGATATGGTAAAAAGAAATAATGTAAGTGGATGTATGTTAAATTATTTCTAGAGTTGTACCTTTATTGTAATACTTATTTTCCTATTAAAGTGGAAATTTCCATTTTAGCCTTGTAACCGTTGTTATATTGAAACCATTTGGGTAGTTATAACTGCCCTAGGCAACGTTTAAAGGTAAATTTATGCGTCTATTTATATCGCAATCCTCTACACCATATGCAGTCGTTGCATGTATTCGGAAACCATGGATGTTGTTCTACATACTGCGATTGAAGATGTGGTTAGACAAGTTGAGGCTATAGCTTTTAGAAACAGTCAGGAGAAGCATGTATGGTGAGTTATGTTTCAATTTATAGTTTACAATTTACATGCATTCTCGGCTTATGGGTCTACATTACTAAAGTGAGACATATGGGTGTTGTACGTATTGAAAATGAAGGGAAACGGCAGAAATGGGCACTGGACCATGGACGACAGGTTTACAGCGATACGATACAACAATTGAATTAGTTTCACGTAATGGGCCAAATGAAAGTATCCCAGGAAGATGTATGTACCTGGAAAAATGTTTTCAATCTCGGGATCATGTTGCAAAGTTTATTAGGGGAGTGATATGTTTCCTAAGATCATGTGTACTCTTTTATGTATTACACTTTATTTATTTGAATGGTTTAACATGCAAAAAAATTTACACAGGTTGATTGGATTGTTTACAATGAAAAAATAGGGTTGGCTTTCCTCCGTACAAATGGTTACGCGTCCCTCTATCCTATGTGTATTGCATTATTGTTTTCCAATGAAGCAAATAAAGAGGCGGGGATTAATTTATTAATGTTGTTGAGGACAAATTCAATACTCAGCACTTGTATCAAGTCTGCCCGTAGAAAGATGTTAACAATTATTAAGAGGACTTCTTCCCGTAATCGGTCATTCTTTACGCATGTTTCAAAATGTTGTCCCGAAGGCAACCATATTGATTGGCATTGCTAGATCCTAAACGAGGATCTCATCAATTGTAATCGTTGTTAGTGTGATTTAAATATCATGGTTTTGCAAGGTCGTCTTTCACAACATCACATAGAAGGATTATTTGGGTAGTTCTGTAATTTGAATTGGTAACACACAGTGGATGTTTGCCACATCAGAATAGACTTACCTCATGTATTCAAGTATATGAATTATAGAATAATGCATAATGAAAGTGATATAGCAAAATTTAATATTTGTAATTGTTATATAATTTTTGTATGGAGATGTTATTTTGAAAGTGGCGTCATAACATTTGAATAACCAGTGCCACAAGTATATTGTATATCATATAGGTATATATGTTAAACACATATGACAACAATTTTTCAGACATACATAACATAACATATGTCATAGCTTTATATATGTTTTAAACATATTTCACAACTAGATAACATTTAAGTAAAATATTAAAAGAACACCATGAAAACCACAAAATACTTCCAAACTTCCAAGTCACAGTAGTAGATAGATCAAAAGCGGGTAGCTAATGGATAACCTATTTCCTTTGTTTCAAAGAAAACAATCATCGTTTGACAGGGATATTTCAATTCAAACATCCTTGCCATATCTGAATCGCTTCTGAGCACCATTCTGTCTAGTAAGGAAGGGATACAAGCATATACGTTCATGGCAAAAGGATGTGAAATTGCACGAATGAATGGCAGTCCACACAAATCTTCTAAAAATTTCTGGTAACCATAACTTTCTGGGTCACATCTATGATTTCACCAATACGAGCACCACAGTGAACAAGAATGGAAACCATGCCGCCAATCCAATCTGAAAAGTAAGTACACAAAACTGAATACTTAAGTGGTTAGACTGAAAAGTATAATTTATATATGCACAATTAAGATACAAATATTATACTTAACATAGGAACACTCACCAACTTCCCGATGAAGCTGCCTTCCTATTTGGGTGGCAAGAAGCTGTGTTGGATTTTTATGGTTGAATAATATATATTCAGTAAAGTGAATAGGAATCAATAGTTGGGCACCATTAGCTTTTCATTTATACCCAACAACTTCATTGAATGCATCATTTCCACTCTGTTTTGCCGAACAACTAATTCAATGCAGCTGCATCTTTCTTTTTGCCACACAAACTTCTCTGATGCTTCTCTGTCTGATGCATCTCTCAATGCATTTATGTTCCCAACTCATTTCTACCCAACAGGGCTTTTGTTCCCAACTCGTTTCAATTTCTTTTTCTCTGCATTGATTTGCCGGAATGCAAACCCACTTTGGCAAGATATATTACATTGAATAGAAACATTATTTTATTCTAATGAAAACCAAGTATTAAAACTACTTTGAAAACTGAGCCGGCTGACCCTTCAATTTGAACCGTTACAAAATGAACCGTTAGAGAGCCGTTCTTAACACACAGACACACACACAACTACATGTATATATATATATATATATACACACAAAGAACTAGAAACAGAGACACATGGTACTTATCCATAGCTTTAAAACCTCAGTCTTATTCCACTTTTCTCTAACAAAGGATCTGTGTACTCTCTCTCTTTGGTCTAAGGTCTCTACTTTGTTTACTATATATTTATAGCAAGTGTCTTCAATGGCGTCATCGAGCAGCAGTGGAGTACGTCGTAGAGGTGATGTTGACCATCCAATTTGTTTATGTGGAGAACAGAGTCGTTTGCATGTTTCAAAGACCAAAGAGAATCCAAAGAGGCGATTTTTCAACTGTGCAGAAAGGCGTTGTTCTTTTTTTGTGTAGATCGATCCACCATCCACGGTTGAAAACGTTGTTGCTCCTGCACCAACAACTACTGCAGATGCCAATCTACTAAATATACATTTGTCTATCGCAAAAGCTTTGTTTATTTTTTTTTCTTGCAAGCATGATATTTTTTGGATTGGCAGTGATTTTACTCATACAGTTGTTGTTGCGTAAATGAAATATTCGGATTCATGTTAGGAAATAATTCATATGTTATGCCCAATTATTTTGTTACGTATATTGGTGAAAAAGTATGATGGGTATTTAACAGTTACCTTTAACTTCGTAATTAAAAGTTGTCATGTATGTTAACAAATAATTCATATATAATATATAATAACATTATAACACATATTAGTAAAAAATGATGATGCGGTTTTAACAGATACCTTCAACTTCATAATTAAAAGTTGTGATGCATGTTAACAAAGAATTCATATATAATATATAATAACATTGCAACACATATTAGTTAAAATTTTGGATGTGTTTTTAACAGTTAACTTCAACTTCGTAATTAAAAGTTGTCATGCATGTTAACAAATAATTCATATATAATATATAATAACATTGTAACACATATTAGTAAAAAATGATGATGCGATTTTAACAGTTACCTTCAACTTCATAATTAAAAGTTGTGATGTATGTTAACAAAGAATTCATATATAATATATAATAACATTGTAACACATTAGTTAAAATTATGGATGTGTTTTTAACAGTTAACTTCAACTTTGTAATTAAAAGTTGTCATGCATGTTAACAAATAATTCATATATAATATATAATAACATTGTAACACATATTAATAAAAAATGATGATGCGATTTTAACAGTTACCTTCAACTTTATAATTAAAAGTTGTGATGCATGTTAACAAAGAATTCATATATAATATATAATAACATTGTAACACATATTAGTTGAAATTTTGGATGTATTTTTAACAGTTAACTTCAACTTCGTAATTAAAAGTTTTGATGCATGTTAACAAACTATTCATATATAATATAAAATAACATCGTAACACATATTAGTAAAAAATTATGATGCCTATTTAATGATTCCTTCTACGTTCCCTTCAACTTCTATTGCTTGCTTGTCAAAAATGTGATGTATGTTAAGATAAATGTTATATTATATACAAATATGTTGTAACACATGGTACTCAAACATTCTGGTGTAAAGAATGAAATTTGTATAACAGTCCTACAACATTTCAGAAAATTTGCGACCCGTCAATTTTCTACATTAACACAAATTTATTGTACGAAATTAACACAAATTAATTGTTCGGTTGGGATCCACAAATAGATGACAAGATTTACAAATCAACTTTTTTTTTCATTCCTATCATCATCCAAGAGCTAAAGCAGTATTTCAGAATGCATCGCCTTTGCGTCTGTCTGCAGCATTATGAAAAGTTTAACAGTTTGAGTTATTTCCTGATATAGTAACTGTGAAATCTAACCATTAATGTAATTACATGCATTATATTGCATGAATAAGTTATCACATTTTTAACTTACATGTTCGAAAGTGGGGGATAAACATTTCCCATTCCACCGCTCCATAAACCTCATCACAAATAGCCCACATGATTCACTGCAATGGCTAATTGTAAGTAAGTACCTATACAAATGTATATGGCTGTTTTCTAATTAAATACATAAAACTTATTCTTACCTATCTGTTTGTCTGGGTAATGCCCTTGGTGTGCGGGGCTGAAATGCTGTGAAATCTTCCTTAAACACGATCCCAATAAACTCTTTCTGTTGTACATATCAATATTTTGTAATTAATACATATTCACTCCTAATCAATTACATCAACACAAACTAAATATATGTACCAACACTTTGACATAATCCATACGTTTATGCGCCCTTTCCAATGAACAAAGGTAATCAACCATCTTCTTCGGACGGTTGATAACAAAGAGTAACCAATGTCCTTCTATGTATGCCGGGAAAAATAACTGGATCAAGGTAAGTATACAGAGTTAATGAATAGTACAAGTAAGGTTTACAAGATTATAGGATAAATAAAAGGAAAAAACACACTAACCAATTTTGCAGTTTCCACATCAGGTAGGAAACAGTACTCAGCAGTTTTCTTAAATTTTTCCCACTTCTTCAAGCCGAGAAATGCGTTCAGCTTTTTTCGTTAATTTAGTTACATTCAATAAAGTCATTAGCTGGATGGCTCTACTGCTGAAATAGTACCTCTCCCCT